GTCAGCTCGGGAGGCGGGCAGATGCAGCCTCCTCCATGAGGGTACGGTAGGGTAGAAAATTCGGAATAAAATTTCTTTGAACTATAGTACATGTGCAGCTACTGTACAGTGCAGCTAAGTAAGGAATAAATACCAGGAGCAAGCAAGTAGGTCAGCTAAAGCTCGGGGCAAGCCACAGATCTGGGTGCCGAGTGGACTGTGATGCCGCGGTTGGGACTGTGAATTTCCCGACCCGAACCTAGCTGAGGAGGGGGTCGATTTTGGCGCGCGCCCGCGCCAAATCGCGTCACGACGCGATTTCCGCTGGCGAAATTCACAGTCCATAGCCTTGGCATTTACAGTCCCTCGGGTAGATATCTGGTTACCTCACCCGCGCGTTTGTAGGGTTCCCGAGCGCCTGATGTGCTTCTTTGACCCTCAAATATTACTAACAATAGCATAGATTATATTTGCAAGTATATACAATATTTGAAGCACGGGAGGCGTGTATCTGGCCCTCCAGCAGGCCGGGATGGACGGGGAATGGAGAGGCCGGGGTCCCAAATGGCGTGGGAACTGGGACTGTAATGGACTGTTTAGCGGAGGAAAGCACCTTGATACTAATAGATCGACCTGGGGTGGAGTGGCAACAACCAGAACGTTAACGCCGTTGTAACGCGTATACCTTGTCTGGGTGTCCTTTGTTCTTGGTCGCGAGAGACGTCGCATCGTGCATAAATTCGCGACCTTCTGAAGTTGAGAGGTTGAACTAGTCCCGTCATGCGCGCTTTCGGCTTCAGCTTCGGTCTGCTCCAAGGAGCGACCTTCGTCCTCGGTGTCAGCATAACAGATATTCAAGGCCCGGCTTTCCAGTCGCCCCTGAGGAACCAGGTTGTCCATGATGTTACCGGTATTGTCACTGCGAAGGTGCTTGCCTTTGTCAATGCTCTTCCCCGTTCGCTCATACCATACAGGGTCCTACCGGTTTCTGGATTTCTGGGCCAGCAGTGAATGACAACCGAGTTTCCAACGGACTGAGTGTATACACCAAGTCTACCTCCATATTGCGCCAGGTCAATGTTGGCGACGAGGTATCCCTAAGCGGACGCGTCTCAGAGTATCATTCATACTTCAGTCCGAACGATCTTTTCTTGACTCAGCTCAATGTGCCTTCTAACATCGCCGTATTGTCTTCGAACAATACTATAAAGCCAGTGGTGCTCGGCATAGACAAGTCTCCTCCAACTCAGCAGCTTGCGGCGCTGGATGTGTATGGCGATTTGGATGGGTTTCTCTCCGTCCCGAACAACCAAAGCCAACTGGAAGTTCTAAATGCCACACTCCAACCGGAAAAGTATGGCCTTGATTTCTGGGAGAGCCTGGAGGGACAACTTGTCCTGGTGAAGAACCCCGTAGCACTCAATTACCCGACCCGATTCCACGAAATATGGGTGCATGGGGACTGGCCTGTCACCGGCAAGAACCAGCGCGGCGGGTTAACCATCACCTTCGGTAAGTGTATCTTTACTCGGCCCATAAACAATTTCATGACATCTTATAGGGCCGGATGGATACCCAGACGCGAATCCTGAAGCAATTTTAATCGGCAAAGCTCTTGATGGTACGAAAGGTCCTGACGTAGCCATTGGGACGACGCTTTCAGACATAGTCGGCGTCGTCACGTACCAGTATGTTAACGGTTATGGAACACATGTCCTAGACAGCCACAGCTTACGTGCAATGGGACCTTTAGGTACGGCTCCTATCGCATCCTACCACTTACTGCTTCCACTGTCGTCGACACCCCTCTTTTCGACGTGCCTGCCACTGGTCTGGTATCGAATGCGAACGTTTGTTCGCTAGTCATGGCTGATTACAACGTATGTTCCTACCTAGCCGATGTATGCTTGGATCAAGCTCAACACCTGTAGGTCGAGAATATGGGGCCCAGGTCGCATCACCTTTCCACTATTGCAGAGCATATCGTGGACAAGCTCAGATTGCCGGACTTAGTCTTCGTGCAAGAAATACAGGATGATTCGGGCCCGAAGAATGATGGCACGGTTACGGCGAACCTGACACTCACGAGACTGGTCGAGGCTATTGCTGATGCCAGTGGCGGCGTTGATTACGGGTTCGTCGATGTCGATCCAGTCAATAACCAAGATGGAGGCCAGCCCGGAGGAAATATCCGAGTGGCATATTTGTGCGTTATCTGATGGTTTGATGTTCCTGACACTCCGACCAAGATCTTTGTCCGTGATTCGCAGATATCGAAGAGACAGAGTTCGCCTTCTACCAGGGTCACCGCCTGGTGGAGCGTTGGACTCCACTGAGCCTTTCCTGGATTCCACCGACGCAGTGGCTCTCACGTACGCGCTCATTAGATGACTGGTTGTCTTCCATGCTAAAGAGCCCCACGACAGCTTCAATCCAGGACGAATCGACCCAGGGAATGACATTTGGTATGAAGCACGAAAGCCTGTAGCTGCCGCTTGGCAGACGTCTACTGGCGCTCGTTTCTACACTATTAATGTGCATTTCTCTTCCAAGCGAGGAAGCACGTCTTCTCAAGGCAACGCCAGGACTCCTATCAATGGGCGTGTTGACGTGCGGACTGGACAAGCTAATATAACAGCGGTGCGGATCGACTCACGCCTCTCAGCATTCTGGTTGTACTCATCCACCCCAGACCTTCGTGAGGGATATTCTCAGCCTCGACCCTTCTGCAAGTATTCTAGCTGCGGGTGATTTCAATGAATATCTGCAGACTCGCTCCGTCTTCGCCGACTTATCAGAGGTCCTCCACGACATCGACGAAACGTCAAACATTGATCCAGTGGAGCGATATACCTATGTGTACGACCAGAACACCCAACAGATTGATCACATATTCGTTTCGAATGCTATCAAGGAAAGAGGGACGGAAGTGGAGCATATTCACGTCAATAATTGGGCGTCTTCTTTGAAGCAAAGAACTAGTGATCATGACCCTAGTGTTTTCAGAGTCAGAGTCTGCGGTACGTCCAGACAGTTCCCCTAGATGCGCCTCCTGGCTCATTCTTGGACGCTTGGTGCAGATAACGACGCCCGTTCCGTCGCATCCTCTTATTTCAGTCAGGTCCTCTACGCCTTGGATACTTTCTCCAGATTGTTCGAACGTCTCTTGTGGTAATCTATCCGCTTCCGCACGCAGCCACATGCCGCATGTATGATATCATTGACACTGACAGATATTATTCTTATGCTTGATTCATTATGCACACGCGGGAAAACTCAGCCTCCCGGTATGTCATGACGATGTGCCTGTCAGACCACAGTAGAGTGGTTACGACAGTTTTTTTCTTTCTCCTACTTATCGACACGTCCCTCGGTACTTAGCCTGTCATGTTTATCTTGGCGTCCGAACGGCTGCAAACGCAACGCTTCTGGATATCCTTGCAGAATATAAGATGTCGGCTAGATCGTCCCCCACACCGCCTTCAGAGGGTCCCGCGACTAGTTAACCCTTAGAACATTCGATCTAACTTACTTTGATCGTCCAATGACGTCTGAGGATTCTACGACTCTGTTCCCGTCTCTGACGCGGGAGGACATCCTGGCTTTCCAGTTCTCCTCCTGGCATCCCAAATTTCGTGATGTCAGCATCAAGTCGAAGATCATAAGACCGCTGAAAAAGGACTTCTGGAATTATTTGAATTCGGATGGTGTTTTCGTGCCCGTAGGCTCAGAAGATCAGTAAGTCATGGCTCCAACTAGGGTTATCGTATTGAACGTTTGTGACCCATCCGGCTCCAGTAAACTGGATGAAGAAGTTGACGACCAGGAGAGCCAGGGCAGCGACGAGGACAACCCGGGCACACAATATGCCTTCCCAGAATTGGATGCTCAGATACGAGAAGCCATAACAGAATATGGAGGTGTCTTCCCTAAACTGAACTTCTCCTCTCCCCGAGTAAGTCACAATCTCTCAAGCTGTTGCACCCTTGACTTCTCACGTCGCTCCTTTACAGGACGCATCATGGATCCTCCCAGCAGGCTCACCCATGAAATGCACCTCGCCGGCCGAAGTGTACATGCTGCTGAAGTCCTCCGACTTCATATCTCATGATTTGACTGAAGAAAACGTATTCGAGGGTTGCGAACCGTCCGACGAGGCACCTTCCTATCAACTTGAATTGGTTCTGCGGAAGTGGTACCCCATAGATCCAAGCAGGGAAATGCGATGCTTCGTCCGACAGGGCCGCTTGCTAGGTATGCTAGGTCGAGCGCTCCTTGCTTGACATACCGTTCAACCTCTAATTCCCAGGGATCTCGCAGAGGGACACAAACTACTATGAATACCTCAACGATCCCAGCACTTCGCGGCTGATCCTGGATTCTGTGCAGGAGTTCTGGGAGAAGAACGTGAAAGATAGATGGGATGCGTGCCCTGACTGTCAGTTACCGTCCATTCCACTTGTAGAGCATCTCGCTCACTGTTCGGATATATACCATAGACGTTTTCGACATCCTTTTAACGAGGGACTTATCGCGGGCGCACATCGTTGACTTCAATCCCTACGCACCTAGGACGGATCCGTTGCTCTTCACGTATGAGGACCTTCAGCGACTCACGCGCACCTCGGGTGCGCCTGAACTGAGGGTCATTGACTCGCGATCGCACCCTGCTGCCACTCGTAATGCGCCAGCCCACCAACACAATATGATGCCATTAGAAGCTCTCCAAATGAGTAGCGGCCTTGACATCGAGGCATTTGCGTCCAAATGGCACGAGGAGATCAAGAGGTCTATAGAGTGAGAACAGTTCAAACTACCGTCGGACAAGTGGGGTCAGACACTACACCGGTTCCAGCGACTATCGTCGCAGAGCATAGCAGAAAACAATGCAATTCCAATTATGCGAGTGTATGGGGGCAGTCTACAACGTGTAAATACAAACGAATCCGATCTACCACGGCCTTTCTAGTGTACGGCGCCGAACTCGAGGAAGATGACAAATGGGAGGGTATGAAAGCATCGATTCATGATAGCCATTTGATTCCTCACTTGTCAAGCTCAATGCCGGAGTCGCTTTCGCAAATTCCGGAGTGCATAGGGCGGGCGGCAGCGAGACCATGGGCATTCTTGTAGAAGACGATATTGCCCTCATCTTCGACGAACTGCCAGTGGCAAACTGAGCAATGCACTCAATACCAACTGAGGGGATAGACGTACCTTGCACTCTTTATAGATGCGGTACACTTCAGCCCAACCACCCGGGCGTCCCTGCAATTTGATACCGGCGCTGTCCAGCCGCTTGCGGAGTGCGTACGTTGCTTCCCATCTAGCACGAAGCCTGTCAATCTCAACACCTCTGCTCCAGTGGACCAGACTCACGCGTTGTAATGGGGGATCTTGCTGGACACGTGGTGAAGAACATGCGTCTCCGAGATACCATGAGTGAGGTGAGCACCAAGCCAACCCATGATCTTGCCGCAATCTCCGAGCAACTGGCGATCGAGGGTAGCAAGGGCACCCCTAGGGAAGGTGAACTCGGCGGCACGGTAGTGGGGAAGGAGAGGGTCAGTGTGTTGCAGGAACGTGATCAGCACAAGCCAATGGTTGACCCAGAGGTAGGGCACCAGGTAGAGGCGTAAGACGTTCGCGAAACCGTAGTAGGAGCTGGCCGAGATAACGCCACCCAACCACAAGACAATACCGATGTCAGAGAGGACTATCTGCCCCCGCTGATGAGGCTTGAACATAACAGCGTTCGGGTTGAAGTCTTGACACGGGCTAGGCATTAGTCTCGAACAAAATGGAACAAGCTCACAACGACTTACGGTTGGTGAACGCAGGGTAACGCTTCTGACCAGAAGCATTCCGGATGAGATACATCAGCCATCCCACCAGCTGACATTGCGGTTAGTATCTCCACTACGATAAAATGGTCAAGAGTAATCAGGACTAACCAGATAGGTGGCTGCGCCGAAACTTGCCCCCATAGGCGAATCGCCCAAGGCGTCCCACAGTTCTTTCTTGACTTCGTTGGAGATACTGGCACCCAAAATATCCTCCTTCGTGGGGTCGAAAGGAGGTAGGCCTAATTGGGAACGAGTCTTCGGGACGAAAACCTGGTCCTCGGTCATGTGAGCCGTAGAAGCGTGATGCTTCGCGTGCGTGATTCTCCAGGAGTGGTAAGGCACTCCAAGTCTGAAAATGGGAAGGAAGACAGTCAGAAAGTCAAACCAAAATCAGTAATCACATGCCGATCATGGAAAAAGGACTTACGCAGAGTGAAGGATCCATCCCACCAAGTTATTAAGGAACTTAGACTCGGAGAACGCTTGGTGTCCACACTCATGAGCGATGACCCAAAGCCCAGTCATGACCAAGCCAGCTGCAAACCCATACAGCGTCCAGACCGCGAAGCGGGCCAGAGTGTAGAGGGACGGGTGGGGCAGGGAAAGTTGTTCGGGGCTGATCGACGCGTCCAGGAAGGTCGCAGTTTTGTACATGCCAGCGAGGAGGGCGAAGTCGTAGACGCTACATAACAAAGCAATGAGCCACCCAGGTCGTACATAACATGCGGGTATGTACTTACACATAGCTCAAGGAGCGTAGGGCAGACCTCTTATAGCAGTGAGAGCTACGGGAAGACATTAGAACCGCAGGAAGCACATCATAGGTCCAAAACTCACGGAATTGCAGAAAGCAAGTCCTTCACGGAAAGGTCTGGGATGACACACGGAGTCTGTTCGACAGAGGTGACACCGGCCTTTGAAGAGTCGGCAGCCATGCTGGGACTCAATTCTATGTGTCTAGGCAGAAAGAAAAGACAAAAAGAGACGCAGTAGAGGCCCCGAGTCGTCTAGGGAGAAAAAACCAAGGGCGGAGCGCGACTGTCACTGGAGTTCCGCTGCTCTTTTATTATGGGGTAGAGTGCCTCGGCTATAGCCGACTCGTCTATTGGGGTTCTCACGCTGCACAGCCTTCTTGAATCCTACTGACCGTTAACATTGGGGAGGCGCAATTCCGGGTCGCGCGGCGAGTTGTTTGCATCTGTTTGGACTCTGCAAGAAAGTGGTCGCAAATCCCCCGCCTTCATAGAGCCTTCCGCATGTCGAAATCACGCATATAAAATGTACCAGCAGGGATGTCATGATACAGAAGATGCAACGTTGGTTTTGAATTTCTGATTTTCCAAATATCAAGTTCATTCGATAGAGGTAACGAGACCGCAAGTACATTTAACAAAAATGTACAACCAACGTTGCATCCGCTCGTTGATATAGATCAACTTTTATGAATCAAGTGACGCGTGAATGTGAACGTAGCACGCTGTAGGTTTTCTGGCAGTAAAGAGCAATTAACGACGCGTCCGAACGCGTCGCGGACGTGACAAGCTGTGACACCATCGCAAAAAGTGTCACACCAAATATCCTCGTCACTGTCCGGGCTCTCCTGCCGCAGCAGAAGCAGGTCCCTTCCCCTATGTTAGAACTGTAAAAATC